ACCCAACCCAACCCAACCCAACCCAACCCAACCCAACCCAACCCAACCCAACCCAAAATAAACTGTCTTAGTGTTCTATTGCTGTGAACAGACACCATGACCAAGGCAACACTTAGAAAAAAATATTTAATTGACGCTGGCTTACAGTTTCAGAGATTTAGTCCATTATCATCATGGTGGGAAGCACGGCAGCCTGTAGGCAGTCTTGGTGCTGGAGGAGCCCAGAGTTCTACATTTTGATTGGAATGCAGCATCAGGGGACATCTGGTCCTCTGCAGGTTCAGGCAGGACAGAACTGCATTCCATGCTGGGTGGAGTCTAAGCATTAGGATCCCTCAAATCCATCTACACAGAGACATACTTCTCCCAACACAGCCATACCTTCTCCAGTAAGACCTCCAATAAGACTAATAGTGTCTCTCCCTATGGCTAAGTATCTAAACATATGAATCTATGGAAGCCAAATCTATTCAACCCACCATATAAACAAACACACACGTACAAGCAAACAAGAACCCAGATTACTACCTTTCATATTTTTCTCCTATTTACAGCTTACAAAAAAAAAAAAAAAAAAAACAAAACAAAACCTTCCAATCTACAAGGTGTTGTGGTTCACGTTGTTTAGTTTCAGACCCATGTGACAAGGACTAAGGTGCATATCTTATACACCAAAGGTGACCTGGCCTCCAGGTTCTCCCCTCCTTCTTTGGGGCCAGTGAACTCTCTGATAAACCCGAGTTTAATGTAGTCTAATCTGCATTAAATTGGCTCATTTCACCAGGAGTGGAGAAATAATTTATCACACCCCTTTAAGCCCAGCACTTGGGAGACAGATTCAGGGTGATCTCTGTGAGTTCAAGGCCAGCCTAGTCTACAAAGAAGTAAGGATAAGATTTCCATCAGATTTCAGAATTCATGCAAACAAATGAAGAGACAGGACAGCCAGAGCTATGCAGTGAAATCCAGATTCAAAGGAAACACAAACAGCACCCCTCTCCACAAATCCTAAAACTTCCAAAGTTTAATTGAAAATGTTCCTTATTTTTCTAACACGTGTCTGAAAAAGCCAAAGTTTGTTCAACCAACCCAGTAGAAGAGACACTGTCTTCATCCTGTGTGCACTTTATCTCCATAAGAGATCCATCCTGCACTTTATCTCCATAAGAGAGAACTCTTATTCATCTGCAATACTCCTGGTAAACAAGGAAATAAATCATTTACACAGCAGGAGATCTTTATGTTAGCTAGTTTTAATACCTTCACCATAAATGAACCAATTATTTTCTTATTCTGTACATGAAAGCACAGCATATTCTGCTACTGATAATCACTATGGCTAGTCTTGGCAAAAACTGTTCTCATTTTTCTTCAGAGGTATGCCAAAAACAGCCCAAGACTCAGACAGAAGCCCCAAATTGGAAAGCTCTTCTAGGAGGTACTGCTATGGAATTATTCACTACACACCCACTTCCCAACCTTTCTCCAACACCAATGGCAGGGAGCCAATGCACAACGTGTGTAATATGAGCTGACAGGGAATTTCAATTGTACTAAAATTGTAATAGTTTGCTTAATTCTAATTTACTTTTAAAGGTTTGGAAAAAATGAGCAGATGAGACTGTCAGATATCATTAAGGGAGAAAGATATCTATCGCTTCAGACGGTATACATATTAGAAGCATTTAACTAAACTGTTTAGTACCAGTAAAGGCTAATTTTTGGAAAGAAAAACCCTTATAATTATTTTATAATTGTTATGATGGGAGTTTTGCCTGATAATCACCAAAGGTTGAGTTTCCAGGAACTGCCTTATAAGTCTGGATTTGTTTGATGTTTCCAAAAACAATGAAACAGCACTCCAACAAACACTCCAATTTATTTTTTAAAAAGTTTTCTTAAGTCACATTCAATTCACTATTTCCTGAAGTATAAATAGCAATATAATTAACAGCAGATGAGATTATTTTAGAGCTTCTGAGATAGACTTAAAATGTTATATACCTTATATTTGTAACCTATGGTATGATTTTTGCTTATAGGTGGTCCACAAACCACACTGTGGTCTGATACCTTGGTCCAAAGAAACCATTCTTTCCTGCCTGAAACATCTCAGAAATGTTTAACACACATGCAATATCCACTCTTGCTTCATTCAGCTAAGATTTATCTTGTTTTTCTGTGGTCCTTTCCTTCAGTAGCGAAGAGAAGACCCAGAGAGTCTACCTTATTCTGTATTACCAGGGCTGGCAAACAGATTGTTGTGTCAGTCCTGGTAAAATATATTTTTTCAGCCTCTTGCCTATCACATGTTTACCTTATAAACTAAATATTTCTAGGAAGAACTGGTCACAATTGTAATCAAATGATTTCTGATAATTAATTCTCTGTCCTCTCCACCCCTGGCCAAACATATGGGCATTTGAAACATCATAGTCACAATTCATGGTGTACGTGATATGCAGCCAACATTCACCAAGGAGTCACCAACTAAGCAAGCAAAGCACATTTTTTGGATGCAGATTTTTTCATTTAGGAATTATCCAAAATTTGTGGTTGCTAAGTAGAAGAGGATGAATTTTCCCATCTTTCTATTCTTGGAGAAAGTGATATTTCTAAGTGTTCATTCCATAATGTGGCCAGAAAGATACTGATTGTAAATGTTCTCAGATAATTGAAATGAGTTTAGTGAGAAGACATTTGCAGTAAGGACAAAAATGTACTCAGGGTGTATTTATATAGAGAATAAGTGAGAGCCCGAGTTAAACTTTCCATTCTCTGGAAGCCACACTGAAAAGTCATCATTGTCACAGATGCTTGATGAACCTAATTATCACTCTGGTTTCCCCAAGAAGGTCAGTGTGCTGGTCCAGCTGCAGAGGATTTGTACGTTTGGGCATGTATAAATCACAAGGTTTGCCATTCAGTAAGTTCATGTTGATTAGTTAGCTTTACTGCAACAGTTGCTCTGGGTTAGTGATACAGAGATACACGTTTTTTTGATGGTGGGTCCCCAGGTGTAGAAGAGTCAATAAACATGAACATACTATTTTATTTTAGGGCACATACATCTTATTCCATGTTTAACACACCTATAAAAATCTGCAATTCTTACCACCATAGTTGATTTGAAGTACGTTATACATGGAAAGATCTCACACTCAGTCCACTGGTGTGGTAAAGGCAGATGAAGGAAAGAATTAAATCAATCTAAATATGCACATGAAAAGAGAATTTATTTCCCCATTTCTAAAACTTAGAAAAATTCACAAAGGACCACTGCAGATGAAGGATCACTGGAACACTTACTTAGCAGAGATTTGGAAATGGACAGAAAGAACAAGAATGCCTGGGGCTGTCTGCACATGTCATGTGGAGTGCCATCATGGCCACATATAGCCTGCTCTGTGGAAAAGGGGATTACTGCACTGGGATCTAAATAGTTCCATAAACTGTATGCATGCCCCCTACTGTTTATAGTGTTCATCATTGTTTACTCTATAGCTTTTTCCAAGAGAAAGTACTGGGAGCTTTTACTAGTAAACCACTTCTGTAGACCTCCCCAGGAGATGTTAATGATCCCCCTACATACAGAAATGTCCCATGATCAGGATTGCCATCAGTCACTCCTCTTATGCTCCAGACAGCCATTGTGATGTCACTAAGCACATGCACTTCAGATGATGATTTTACAACCACTTTGCACATATCCACACATAGTAGGATTCTAAGGCTGCTCTGAATGCATGCTTATCTCAGATAACAGAGCCATTGCACTGTATGGCTGGCCAGTGCTTCAGAGGCCACAGCTGTTCTATCTTTATGCACACACATTATCAAGATCTCTAAAACAGAACATATCCTAGGCCACAGGTCTTAACAAATACTTAATAATTTAAATAATTTTATGTAATTTAAAAGATTGTAGAAAAATAAACATAGAAATTGATAAAAGAAAATGTATAAAAGCTATACACATACTCAAGGATTGAAAAAATGAACTTTGAATGTCCACTGTATCATTGAAGAAATTTGGGGAGAAATTAAAAATTAATTCTAGAAGCAAATAAAAAGGTATAACTTACCAGAACATTTGAGATATAGTTAAGGCCATCTAGGGGAAAACTTTACAGATTTAAGTGCTTATATTTAGAAATTAACAATGTAATGATGTATCTTAAGGCTCTAGGAAGGGAAAGAGAAGTCAAATAAAAAAGAAATTGAAAAGGGGTTGTAATACAGCTAATTCTACTCTATCATTGGCGTTATTTGGTTCACAGGTGCCTATAACTCCAGCTCCAATGTATCTAACTTCCTTTTCTGGATTCCAAAGGTACCTACATGTACCTACATGTACATAGATTCACACATACATAACAGAAAAAGAAAATAAAGAGTAGGGTAGAAATTGATGAATTGGGGACCCAGGATAATAAAAATAGTAATGACAAGAACGTTAAAATAGATTTCAATGAAATAAAATATTGCAACATCTTTAGCATTATGTCAGACATTCGTGATCTTTTTTGCTTTCATATGAATTTTAGGATCCTAGTGAAGACTCTGATACTTTGCAATCCAAAAATACCTGGAAAGTCTAAAAGAAATTGATGACACATAAGACTTATCAAAATTAAACCAAGAGAATAGGAAGACCTTAAACTGATCGACAGAAAGTAAAAGGATGAACTGGTAATAAGTGTCCCTATAAAGATGAGTCTAGGGCTAGAAGGAGGCTCTGCTGAATTCTACCAAACCAATGAAAGAGGCAAACACTAGTACTTCTTAGACTGTAGACAAAATAGAAAAGGAAGACATGCTAACAAACTCTTGCTAAGTCAGTATTATCCTGATACCAAAATCAGATAATAACCCTATAAGAATAGACAAATAAACCAACAATAAAAAACTACTGACTAATTTTCCTGGTGAACATATATGTAACTTATTAATACATTTTTTTGTAAACTGAATTCAAGAACTTTAAGAAAGGTTATACATGAGGATGAAGTTGGTTTTATTGTGGAGATACCAGGATGCTTTCAGCATATACAATTTGATAAATGTTAATACAGCACACAAATAAGTTATGAATAAGTTATGGAAGAAATCACATGATTATCTTGATAGAGTTAGAAAAGGCCCATGCATTCTCTCATGATTAAATGTTGGAAGCAATTAGGAGAAGAAAAATAACCCTACATATTAAAGGCTAGATATTACAACCCTATAATTGACATCATACTTAATAGAGAAAGACAGAGATTCCCCTCTAAAATCAGAAATGAGGTGAAAGTGATCACTCTTTCCATTCTTATTTAGTGTAGTGCTAAGAACCTTAAACTTCAAGATGAAACATGAGGCACGACATTAAGGAAAGCAAATAAGGATAACTATGTATTAAGATGATGTTACCACAATGAAACTCCTTCTTTGCATGCTAACTAAAGTTACTTAAAGAGTTCTAGAAAAAGTTTACACAGATTCAAATATCTATAAAATGAAATATGTAGGTACTACCAGAATCTCAGCAAACTGGAATTCCAAAGCTTCTTTTGTTATTGGGATGGGAGGCTCAACAGACTACAACTTTATGCTGAGTTATGACATCTGAGCTCACTAGGGGAGTGGCCATGCAGAAAGATGAGACCAGCTGGTATGCTGTCCAGAGGCAAGCAGACATCCTGACCATTCAGGTAGGTTGCTAGCATCTTTTACAAACTTATGAGTTGAAGACACGGAATGAAGAGAAGTGCTGTGTCTTTAGGTGAGAGCAATGCTGGCAGTCTGTGGGAACACTTCTTTAGCCAAGACAAATATAGAGAGACTAGATTTTCGTTTAATTTGGCATACTCAAGTTTTCTTTCATGATTTAAGGATGACAAACAAATGTTGGGATTTTCAAGTGAATGAGGTCTCCAAGGATGGGCAACAAAATTTTGCAATATAAAACAAAACAAAACAGATCTTTAGAAATATGAAGACTTTTCCAAGCATGCTAAAGATATGCAGTCATGAAAACTTAGACCATGTAGGCAACTAAGCATGAACATATGTTAGGATCTTTCATTTGAAACACAAGCTTTATTCATGTATAAAAAAGTTTTATTTGCCAGAAAGATTTGTTAGATACAAAACTATTTGTAGGGGTTTTGGTAATACTAATGCGAAGTCAGAGAGTGCATGGCACAGAAGGGATGCTTTGAGACTGCCCCTTACCATGACATTTAATAAGAGATATTCAATATGGTTGCAAGGAAAAATACTCTGGTGAAAGAAGCTGCATGTTCAGTTTTAAAGACATTATTATGTGAATGATGTTGATCATGATATGAGAATAACCAGGCTACAGATAACAACATTCAGTCATTGGAATTGCACTAAAGATTAAGGCCAGGAGATTCAGTTCTCATTGGTGACTTTCTGTCTCAGAATACGAAGTCTTGACATCACTACATCCCAGTCAGCATAAGCTCCTTCCAGATGGCGGGATATCTCAGTTCCTGCCTCATAGCTACGACGTCCATGAAGCAAGCGCCAGTTGTCGAAGGTAATCACATCACCTAAGTAGGAGAATTTTTTTTGACATGAATAATTTGTATTTATATGATATACAAAGATAGAAATTATTATTTACAAAGTAGAAATTATGCCTCTGGTTGCAAATAACAAAATTTTCATGTTCAAATCTGTTGCCCAACATAGTAATTATAATTAATAAGAATGAACTATATTCACTATGAAACCAAATAACAAGAAAATGCAATATACAAGATGCCACCATTACTCAGCTCGTATTAAAAAAAAAAAACCAGAATGTTTTCTTTGTAAACATAACTACACAATTTCTTTTTTAACTAATTTTGTTCTTGGACAGTTTTTACATGTAGACAATACATTCTAATTACCCTACTCTCCACCCCCTCCCCCCGCTTTCTCATAGCTCCTTCCCATCCTTACCATTGGCTATCCCCATGACATCCAGTTCCTTTCCTAAATTCTTAACCTTTGTTTTTTTTTTTTTTGTGACCTCTTAAATTTTATCAAGGCGATGTGTGACTATTGGTTTGAAATTCTCCACTGTAACTTATCAGGGTCATCTGTGGAACACAACCATAGGTAATGGTTCCCCACATACATCATACCTTTTAAACTTCATAGTTTGATGGACTTTTATGGACATGGCTCTATAAAAGATTTTTCTTTGTGTAAGGCTTTTGTGTTCTATTTTTGCAAATTTATCAATAATAGACATTCTGTCCTAGTTTAAGAGCTTTAAGCAACTGTAAGGATGGTTAAATTTTTGGCTGATAGCTTATAGTCTTCCTATTTTATATGCATTTTTCTCCAAAAAGGAAATACTGTGAAGAAAGCAGCATTTCATCTCTTCATATGTGAGAAAACTGAAATCGAGACATAGACCCAGTTTGGATTCCAACTTCTATTATTTTTTGTATGTATTTTTCCCATGATGTTTCTATTTTATATGGTGTTATTCATAAAATAAATCTACTTTAACTGCATACCAAAGGCTTTATGAAGTTATCTAGTTCTATTTATGTAGAACATTTCTAAAAACAACTCAATTAGGTTTGGTATGTGCATGTCTATAGTCCCATTTACTTAGGTGAATGAGGTAGGGGTATTACTGAAGCCAAGCTCAGGAGCTAAGGATGAGGTTTCATGATGTAGCAAGGAGAGAAGAAAGGAGGAGAGGAGGAAGAGATGAAGAGATTCAGGGACTGAAGAGATGTCGCAGCAATTAAGAGTATTGTTTTTTCAGGGATCTTATTCAATACCTAGCACTCACACTGTGCCTCACAACGGTCTGTAACTCCACTCCTTGAAGATTTGATGTCCTTTTCTAGATTCTGTGGGCATTATATAATGTGTAGTGCACAGAAATTTGTCAGACAAACAGACACATGAAAAGGTAAATAAAATCTTAAAAATAGAACAATAAAAAATGTTGAGGTTGGCCAAACTAACAGCAAAGAGAAATTATGCAAATAATTCTCTTTATTTGCAAATAACATGCAAATCTTTATGACCAGATCCATTTTTCAACATGGTGTCTATAATCAATAAAGATATGCTGTAGTCACTAAGAAGGAAGATCTTATATGTTCCCTTTGTGACAACTGATAATTATTTAAAATAATATTCATATTTAACTAACTCAACTTCACAATTTCATAATATATATCTCAAAATATATACACAATAAACATTCACAATTTTATTGTAAATTGAAAAAATAAATAAGAAAAAATGGTGCAAGTTTGGTGATATTTTAATCAGCAGAGTTTGTCTAGAAAAAAATATCAATACTTCCTTATTCACTTCAAGTCACTAGAATAGGCAGTCTTGCTTTATTTTATTATTACTATCTTTGCTAGTTAAGTTTTATCTATAAACATTACTTATGTATTTTGGAGTGGAAGTTACAAAGATAGTTTTGTTTAGCAAGAGAGTGGTTTTTAATCAATTTCATTTGTACTCTAAATTTTCACTATTTTGAGAACTGATGCCTTTTTATGAGTGTGGGGATCTTCATGTTGTAATTTCTGTACCATTTCTTAGAATCTAGGTTATGCTCATGAAACTTTAATATAATACAACATTTGGGGTAAGGAAAGATAGCATTCTTTTTTGGATTTGAGCCAGGGTAGCTTTAGTTAATGAAATAAGGAAAATCACACAGATGACATAGAAGAGTTTGCAAAAAAGCTATCAGGGCAGAAAGTGTAAAACAGTTTTAATATTAAACATAGGCTTCAGCTGGCCTTGCTTGAATGATTCTTAGATGGAGAGAACTTAAAATTTCATGTGCTAGGATTTCCATGAGAGTTTGAAAAACGGCCTTTTTTTTTTTTTTTAAGTCTGGGGAGTCAGCAGCTTAGATGTAGAGTTGTTAAGAGCCTGCTATTCCGGCAAATCAGCTGCTCATTAGTAGTCTGCGGTAGTACCAACCTGGTTGTCATTTTACTCCACTGACCTGGATTCATCTTGAAGGTGTACTTGCATTCTTTGCTGTTCATGAGGTCAACGAACTCTTTCAGAGCAGCGTAGAAAGGCTGAACTCTTTCAATGGGGACATCGAAGACTGTATCTCTGGTTGCATTATTGAAGTTGATGCGAACCACTTGGCCTTTATCATCCAACCTATTTTATTTAAGAGGCAAAATTCACATCTAATAAGTTTCAATTTCTTTTGGAAGATATATTTGAAATATAGGATACATAAAAACATACAAGTTAAACATAACAGGGTGATGTGGTTTAGATACATGTTCACATTATGCATATCGTGCCTGCTTATATCAAGTTAAAATCCCAAATAGCATTAAAAAGTAGTGTTTGAATTTAACTGCCAAGCTATAATTAAGACTCTTGATCTGCTAAGTGCAATGGTCCATACTTGTCAGAAGGGCGAGGCTTGAGGATCCTTGGGGGGAACACAATGTGAGTTATATAGAGATTCATCTCCAAAGGAGAAAACTCCGCACATCACAGTTATGAGAGAGAAATCTAGATTTATTTTTATCTAAAACTTATTCCTGAAACTTATCTTTTCTCCATCCTCCCCATCCAACCTATCCAGAAGATCTTCTATTTCTACCCATAAATTATATCTGTTCAGTGGTTTGCTGAATTCTCATTCAGGGAGGTTGACAATGCAAGTTTCATCCTTTGCAAGTCTCTAGAGCAACACATCCCCTTTATCATCAACTCTGCCTTCCGGTTAGAACATGCGACGTTCTTTTTAAATTCATTATAATTTGGCTGAAAAATTTAAACAGCCCCCTCTACTAAATCTAAGTTCTTTAAGTGTAGGGATTTTTCTTTTTTCCTTTGATGAATCCCAAATACTAAGCAGGGTCTTGGCTCCAATAAACAAATAAGCTCTTGCTGACTGAAGGAATGAAATATATATATATTGCATTCTTAGTCCATGTGACTAAAATGATTCCGCTCCAGCTACTGCTAACTAGCACTGTGCAGTCTTCTGGTATGGTCCTTGTAGTGATGATGTAATGAATGGACCTAGACTTGATTGGGCAGGGAGTCATCCAGCTGCGACACAATTTTTGCAAAACAAAGCTATCTTTGCTATCATTAAGGATGTTAAAAAATTTGGGACTTGTGAGAGGTATCTTTTAAATTGAGGCCAAAACAAAATGACAAAGGTAAGAAGTAAAAACAAACAGCTCCTGGATTCATTTTCAGTTATACTCTGTCACTTCCTGCTTTAAAAGTGCTAACACATGTAATCACATTGATTATGACAAGGCAAAATTTATACTTAAAAAAATAAAGCACACATGAATTCTTAGTTACCAAAAAGTCTAACGTTGATGGGGAACAAATTTTATGTCACTTGGTAACTTTTTTTTTAATGGCAAAATGAACTTTCTTTTTTCTTCTAGCAACTTATTAAGTCACAGCTTTGAATGTAATAAAATATTTCTGCTGTTTAACCCTTAAGCCCATTGCTCCAATGACAGGGAACTTATAAGACTGCTTACTCTATAATTTTGTGTTTAGATTGCACAGAAAAATCGCAGTAATCCACTCCGATGTCTGTAAAATCCACAAAGGTGGAGGAGAGAATATCAAAAGCCTGGGGGTTATTCTCCTTGAGCTTTTGGCACACATTAAAACCATCTACAATTTCAGAGTCACCTCCTGTGGCTGTTTGCTTGATACAGTGCAGCAGCTGAACCTGTAAGGAGAAATGAGAGAGCTAAAGACGATGGCAAAAATCAGCATGTTAACTATTCAAGACATAGAAATTAAAAATCAATAAACTTGGAAAATTCTATTATTTTTATGTCAGTATTGAGGGAAATTAGGGATGAAAAGTTGCTTATAATAATCTGATATATTTCAAGCCTACTGCAGTTGAAGACATGGGCATAAGAATAATGTTGACTAGTAGGGCACAGATCACAGCAGTTCTAGACAGGGATCACAAGATGCTGCTGCAGTCATGGAAACCAATGGCAGAGGCAGGTTTAAACTGGGTAGTGGACTATGAATAGGACATGGGTAACGTTAAATAGAATGAAGATACAAATACATGACTGAGCTTATAGGTCTGAAAAATGTATAGTTTACTGGATAATAAAAATTTGGCTATAGCAGATTGTCTTAGCGGGAGAGGTAGGCCAGGCTGGAAGGATAATTGACTTTTGTCACTAACAGTCTTAAATGTCAGATGAAGGACTCCTGTACTTGTTGTTGTGCATAAGGGTCATTCATTTTGGAGGTAATATGGACCAAACTAAAGAATACTATACAGTGGTGTTGCACAGACACACTAATTTTAAGATGAGGACATGCCAAGCCATAGCTACTTGCAACTCTAATGAGACAGCTCATACATGAAGATGTTAAGGCAATGAATTAGTGTGGGACTGTGGGAGGAAATGGTAAACCAAATGAGGAAAGTATTAATTGTTCCATGTTTTAAGAGAACATGATGAACATATTACAATTTGAGAGGCAAAACAAAAATTAATTTTGTTTTTGTGAATAGAGTTTTTAATTGATTTTGTGATGCCTCTTGGTAAGTCAGTTTAGGTTGGTTGATTCTGAGTACCTAAGTTTAGAGCCTGGTTTTCTGCCTGAAGAACTAATTATATTCTTTGGGGAAAACTTTGCTTTTACAGATTCCAATACATTTTAGATTATTATCTCACTGATCTCTTATAGAATGACAGAAGAAAACTTGACCAAATATCCATACTTTGGTGGATATTAGTTTTAGTGAGAAAAATATTCACTTAGCTTGGTCTTCTCCGTAGATGGTTTAGAACAGTGGCTATTAAGGGTTTCTGCAGTGATAAACATGTTCTTGGTTGTGTAATATAGTAACCACCAGTTCCACATTGCCATTGTACACATAAAGTATAGCTATTATGGAAAAAAATTTAATTTAAAATTATATTCCATATTTCTTTCCTCCACATGTCTGCATATGGTTGTGTACATGTGCATGTTTGCATGTATGTGGGTAGTGTTATGTGTAAGTTTATATGAACATGTGTAGAGCCCTAAAGCTAGCACTAATGGTTTCTCTTTATTGCTCTTCACTTTATTTATTGAGGCAGGATTTTTTGGTTGAAGCTGGAGCGAGACAAATAGGCTAGCTAGCAAAATAGGTTGATTGGAGAATGTCCTGTATGTTTTATCAGTGTTGAAATTACAGGAGAGAAACAGTGTGGGGATCCGAACTCTGGTCTTCACATATGCCTGGTAGGTGTTTATCTACTGAGCCTCAGGTTTTATACCAATTCTTATGATTTTATACATAAACTGTTCTCAAATAATAATTATTTTCTGTATATTACTTTTTATGACAGCCCTTAGAATTTTATAAACTTGTCTTCCGTTTGAAGATGGAGAGGCTGAAATACAAAGGCATCAAAATATATAACAAAATTCAGTTAATATGTGATAAAGATGGTAACTCAATCTTTGGCTCATTTGTCACAAATCCAAAGCACAAAAAGTCCCCCACATTTCAGGGGATCCTTTTATAGAATCATAGAAACTCAGTCTTAGGTGTTTATGTGTCTCCATATGCAAAAGGTCAATTCTTATTTCCCAATGTTGGAAGATAACTCAAACAAATTAGTAATGATTTGCTCTTTAAATGGAAAACATTTTAACCTTGAAAAGTATGTGTGTAAACTGAACAAGTCATTTTAGAAAAGCTATCTCAGCAGGTCAAGGAGAAACCAGGCAACATGGTGACACAAAGGAGAAATAGCTACGTCAGCTACAAGTTTACAGAGCTCCAAAAGATACAACAAGAACACAACTTTGTTCTTAAGAGAATCACAGTGCTTAAATTCTTTTGAATTTTGCCAAAATGGACCCACTGATTCAAATGCTAGTTTAATAAAGACCAGTTGATATCTTTTACATATGAGTAGGCCAAATAATATCTTCTTTTGTGTAGGTATGTTTTAACACAATCTTATAAAAAGAAAATAGATTATAGAGTCTGACAATAATTTCACCACTAATCCAAAAGCTAAATATACTTCTGTCATATATAAAACCCAATTTCATTTCACATAAATCATTCAGAATAAAAAAATTCCTTTGTAAATATTTCCTTATGGAAGCATGTGACTTTTGGCCCAGAGAAAAAAGTAAGCAAAGCCACATCTGTGTGTCATTTAAGATGTGTCTTCTCATCCTGATCAAGTTGAACCCTTACCAGGAAAGTAATTTTCCATATAATTTCAAATATACTGAAAAGAACATTTACCTTTTCTATTTGTTAAAGAAAAGATCAAACTTTGGTATTAAAAGATTCTTCATAATTCAAAGTGGAAGATTCACAATGACACAGACAGACTATATATGTTTATCTGCTAGAATGAAAACAAGTCAGGAATTCATTATTTAAAAACTATGGAAAGCTGTTGGCTTTGGATGCCTCCTTTGGCTTATTGCACACTTTATGGTTTCTCTAGGGAAGATTGCTCATGTTTCTATCATGCACAAGATGTCTTAAGTTTTAAGCTATAAAGTAGTATAAGATTCAGTTACTGTTCTTGAAGAGTTTATAAAATATGACAATATCTATAAATAACCTATTGCGTTACATATTGTGCAAGTTACTAACTTCAGTTCTGAATCATAATAGTGTGTTAAACATATAGGCAGAGATGTAGGTTCCAGGCTCTTCATCCATTAGTGGTTGTCTTAGAAAACCTTATGCTTCATGTTCCTGTCTAATACAGCAAGGCATGATCAAGTTTGTCTACCCTAAAGGATTTCTAAGAGAAGTCATGTAAAGAAACTGAAAACTCTGAGAAAGCATAAAATATTGAGAAGACGTCAAGCATTGTATTATATTTGTGGTATATTTTAGAAGCCATTAGAGCATCCCCCCCCCCTTAGGATTTCAGTTTTAACTTAGAAACAAACTCAAATTCACAAAAAGCAAAAGATAACTTAAAAGTTCAATATAGCAGAGGATGGCCTTGTCAGACATCAATGGGAGGAGAGGCCCTTGGTCCTGGGAAGGCTCCATGCCCCAGTGTAGGGGAATGCCAGAGTGGGGAGGTGGGAGTGGGTGTTTGGGTGGGTGAGCACCCTCATAGAAGCAGGGGGAGGGAGGATGGGATGGGGGTTTCCGGAGGGAAAACTGGGAAAGGGGATAACATTTGAAATGTAAATAAATAAAATATCCAATAATAAAAAGAAATAAAATAGCTCAAGTAGGACTTTTAGTTATCCAGATTCGTTCTTTTAAGTTGTTCTATATTCCACATCTCCAAGCAACTGTCAGCAGACAGAATTTACTGAGTGGTTTAGTGTCTCTGTATCACATTCAGAACAAGCCTCACTATTCCTTTCCTTCTCCAGGTCTTGTCCCAAAAGGTGATCAGAGGAGTCATTTCTCGGTTGTCGTTTGGTTCAGAGAAATCATGTGGTGTTTTACAATCAACATAATAATTTAAAACATATGAAGCCAAATACTAGGCTAGCTTAGCTAACTAATTCTGGCAAGAACAATGGGTAAGAACCAGGGCACAGGGAAAACACGTTCAGTTATGATGATGGTCAAAAAAAATTCATTTTGATTTTGGCCCATTCATTCTTAATTAATTCAAGAACTGCCCAACTTTTTTATCTATCTCTGAAGATACGGATTTGTATGTGGTTGTTTCAGTTCAGTTCACTTAAGCTAAAAACTGAGGTCTACACTGTCTTTAGTTTTCTATCTGTTTTTTGGCTTAATAAAATAATGATTTTGTAAAAATGTGTTTGGTTTAGGAAGATGGTGATTTATAAAGATGAGGACAAAAGTCAAGATTCTCGTGGGTAAAACTGCTATGCACAATGCTGCTTCTTTGGCAAGCAATCTTGTGGGTGCAATAGGAGAGAGCATCCAATAAGAACATGGTTATTCTGTTCCTTATGCTGCCATCACTTTATAATACATTTTCCAGCTTTTCATGAGAGCAATCCACTTTCTTATCTCTCAGTCTGGGCTAGCCTCATTAATTGCGTAGACAAATAAAACATCACTGAAAAGACCTTATGCTGATTACTGGCCTAGGTCCTGAGAACTCACACATGCTTTGGCTTACTCATTGAAAATGTTGCCAGTTGTCATGTGAGAAAGACTAGGCTAGCCTGTTGGAGGATAATAAACCAGGCAAACCATCTCTGCACCATCTGAAGAGAGCCGTTTCCTGGCCAACTTAGCAGCTGACAAGAGCCAGATGACTGAAAACAATAACCTCTTAGCAGAACACAGCTCAAATAATAAAAACACATGTGCAGAGTATCTAGCTGTTTATTATAATGTTAATATTCATTATTGTTATCATTATCAGGATTTGAACAGCCTAATATATGCTGGTCAAGCATTCTTACCATTGACCTACATTCTCTGGAAGTAGTTTGTTAAGCTTTTCATTTCACATGTACTGCCCATCAGTTCAACCTTGTGTATTTGATGCATTCAGGTGAATGTGAAGGTGTGCGCATGCCCATGCGAATGCATGATGCGGATGGGGCAGAACGTCAAGTGATCTTCCTATACTGTTCTTATAAGCTGTTAAATTGATGAGGTGTGTGTGTGTGTGTGTGTGTGTGCGTGTGTGTTAGCAGCAGGTCAACATTTCCACAACTACTCTCCGTTGTATTTTAGGAACAGGGTCTATCACTGAACCTGGAGCTCAACAATTGGTTGCCCTAGCTGGCTAGCATGCCTCGGAGAGCTTTTTTCTGCCTTCCCAGAGCTGGGTTTACAGACACATACACACACCCACACCTTTCTACCTGGGTGATCTGAACACAGGTCCTTATGTTTGTGCAGCAGACACTTTTATCAATTGAGCCAGCTCCAACAACCCCAATTTGGAAAGTTTTTAATTCATTTGCTGATACAAGAGATCACCATGTGACTGCACACTATATTTCCACATTTCATTCTTGATTAACTCTTGCGGGAGTGATATATGTGCAGAAAAACTAAAGATATATTCTTGTCTTAAAATCCGTCTTGGGAAAGCATAATGCTCCAACAGTTATATCCAAGAAGAAAGATGAGTGAAAAATGTCCTTTTTCCTTTAAAAAGTGAGGACATTCAGAACTTAGGCACAAGATGTTTGTGAGTTCAGATTCTGTCTCAAACAAGAAGATGGACATAAGACATATCCAGCAATGAGGCATATAATCTAGACTCAGTCCAGGAGAACATTTTTTTTCTTGGCCTGACTCGTGGAAAATGAGTTGAAGCTCACCTTACCCCAGGTGGATGGTGGAGGGCGGGGTAGTCAGTGTGGAAGCTGAGCTTCCCAGTTGTATAAGCCACGTTGTTGGCGTCAATCTTGTCCTGCACTTGCCAAGTGTGTCTGCAAAATACAAGAAATATGTGTTTTAAAAGGTTGACGCTAAGCCAGAGGAAACGTGTTACAATGCATTTGCTATGAGAGGGGAAATGGAAAGTTTCCATTTTATGAAATAATTAACTTAATGACTAACAGCCAGAAAAAGTTTAACCTTTCTTTCTTTTAAGTGACTCTTTCTGAACTGGCATTTCTGTACTTCTTCTGTCAAGACACCAAAGAAAAACATACACGCTAGACTCTCCCAGAGGATTGGTAGAGAGGTACATATTGGGATCATGAGTCATTTTTTACAAGTTTAATCCATTTGATTTACTACAGAAAATTCATACAATATAAAATGAACAATTCAAAAGTGAACAAGGTGGTGGCATTTAGTATGTCCAAATGGGAGTAACACCTCTGAGTATAGCTATTCTAAAAACATATGCTCACTCATGGCTAAAGCCTTGTAGAGGTTTGAATGAGAATGTTCCCCATAGGGAACTACACATGAGATTGTATACTATTTGTCATTTTGTGCCTGACTTTTTCCACTCTTCATAATTTTATCAAGATTCATTCACAGTGTTAAAGCACATGTGTATCAGAACAATTGGTCTCCAGTAGATGACTACTGTTTGGGAAGGCTTATGAGGTATGGCCTCATGAAAGGAAAGATGTTACTGACGTACATTGTGAGAGCTTTAGGCCTTGCTATACTTGCAGATTTTCTCTCTACACTCACAGCTGAAGGTGCAAGCTCTCATGTTCCTGTTCCTGCCCGCATGCCTGCTGATGCTGTCACACTGAATTCTTATCCCTCTAGAACTGTATGCCTAAATAAACCTCTCTTTCTAGAAGTTGCTTTGGTCATGATATTTTATTACAGTAATAGATGTGTAGCAGTTTAAAGTTCTTATCTATAGTTTCTTCTCATTTTGTTCTCCTCTAGATCTTTGAGAATAACTGATCAGCTTTCTGTCTTATATGTTTATCTATTTTGAATATTTACTACACATGAGCTTGTCTGTTGTTTGTTCTTCTGTTCCCAACTTTTTTTCCTGCTGCTTAATGTTTTCAACATTCATTCACAGTGTTAAAGCACATGTTTTTCTATCACTTCCCTTTATAGCCGATAACATTCTGCTGTGTGGTATGGGTGGCTGAATTCTGCACTGCTTAAATGGAGAGAATATAGGGTGTTTCTCTATTTTTCATTAGTTTGTCCATTTAGGCTGTTTCTACTTTTTGGTTGTTACAAATAGTGCGGATCTGGATGTGTTCATGTATCTATTTGAGCACCTGTTTTTAATTTTTAAAATATATTCATAAGAGTACAATAGAAGATCAAATGATTGTTCTGTGCTATACTGTTTGAGGAATGGCCAAACTATTTTTCATAACAAACGTACCATTTTAATTCTAACTAGCAATGTTTCAGATTTTTAAGTCACTCACATTTATACATACGTTTATAGTGCCTAAGTTCTGAATATTGTTATTATAGTCTACTTAGTTAATGTTGTGTTATTATGGTTTTGATTTGTATCTTCCTAATGACCAATTTTATAAGTAGTATCTCACAATGTACTTGCTGGACACTTGTGTGTCTTTGTAGAATCATCTATGCAAATCTCCAATTTTTAGATTGACATATTTTTTGTTGAATCAAAGCAGTTTATTATATAGCAAGGATACTAGACTATTGATTAACCTGATTTGTGAAAACTTTTATGTATTCTATGGGCCTTTTCTATTTTCTTGTAATATTAAAGAAGACTTGTTATATTATGTATATGTATATGCATATACATGTATTTATGAGTATGTGCACCATGTGTATCCAATGCCTTCAGGGCCAGAGGAGGGCATCAGGTTCCCTGGAACAGATGTTACTGAGTAACAGTAACAGAACTAGAATTACAGGTGGTTGAGAATCTCCTGGCATGATTGCTTAGAACTGAACCTGGATCAGCACTGAACCTGGATCCTTGGCAAGAACAGCCAGTGTTCTTACCTGATGAGGCCCAATGTGAGTGAATGTATTTTGTTGCTCATAGGTTTTTCATTTTTGTCAAATCCAACTTATCCACCTTTTCTTTGTTGACTATACTTCAGTGTAATAGCTACAAACTCAAGCCATGATCATTCAATTTGCCTATGTGCTCACTTCTAAGAATTTTAAGGTTTATAGCTTATTTTTACCTCACTGATTGATCCATTGCAGTTATTTGTTGTTGTTGTTGTTGTTGTTGTTGTTGTATAGAGTTTGCGTTAGAGAATCCAGCTTCATTCACTTACCCATGGATGTTCAGTTGTCCCAGCACCATTTACTGAAGACTCAATTATTTCCATACTGAATGTCTTTGATATCTTTTCTGATAGTCAGTTGGCCATAAAGAATAGATTTACTTCTGAACTAAATAATTTCTCTGCTTTATTCCAGTAGCACCAATAGTGATTATCACAAATTAGTTTTGCCTATTTGCAGCTCCTTGAAATTGCTTTTTCCACTTGTGAAAGAAAAGGGTAACTTTGGTGGAGATTTCATTGACTTTAGATTGCCTTGGGTAGAATTAATGTCTTACTGATATTACATGTTTCAATAAAAACACATAATGTTTTATCATCCGTTTAAGACAATTTATTTTAGGGATTTTTATATTTTAATTGCATGATTTTTTTCCTCCTTGGTGCATTCTATTAGATATTTTATTCATCTGGGTTCTATCTGAAATTCAATTGGCTTAATTTACTTTTCAGAATACTTATTGCTTCTATATGTAGATAAAATTAAGCTTTAGTTGTTCATCTTGCACACTGCATCTTTGCTGCTCTCAATTACTAGTTGTGGTAGCAGTTTTTATAGATTTCTTTTTCTTTCTTTCTTTCTTTCTTTCTTTCTTTCTTTCTTTCTTCCTTTCTTTCCTCTATCTATCTATCTATCTATCTATCTATCTATCTATCTATCTATCTATCATCTAATTACCTACCTTCCTATCATCTATCTTTCTGTTCTATGTATAACTATCTATCTATCTATTATGGATTTATATGTTTATCTATAATTTAACTACCTATCTTTTATCATCTATCAGTATGTATGTGTGTATGTATGTATGTATGTATGTATGTATGTATCATCTATCTCTATCCATATCCTATTTATTTGAAACTACCAGAACTCTATTTAATAGTGGTGACAAAAGCTAGCATCCTTGGTCTATTCTTGTTCCACATGGAAAATGATCAACTTGTATTAAACTATTGAAATTACTACTTAGGTCATGATATAAAACTTGAAACTATTACATATACCCTGTTATAGTCACAATCATTTTTCTCCTTTGTAAAATAACAAGAATCATGACTTCAATAATTATCATTTATTTGCATTTTATTAGTCTTAGTACTCAAATATATGTCCATCAACACTGTGATTAACTTTGCTCAGAATTTTTTTTATTATATCTTAAGTATTTTTCATTTTTTTGCATGATTATTATTAGTGTATGTGTGTATACATGTTCAAATGTATGTGGGAGCACATACCGTACATGTGTAGAAGCAAGAGGTTGACACTGGGAGCCTTCCTAATCACTTTTCACTATTTTCATTGTGGAATCATTTCACAGTTAAACCCATAGCTCGTTAATCTGGCTGTCTAGTTAGTCAGCATGTTCAGGGAAATCCTTGTCTTCACCTTCTGAGCACTAGAATTGCACACAAGCCACTATGCCCACCCAACATTTTCCTGGGTGCTGGAATCTGAACTCTTGACTTTGTGCTTATACAGCAAGTGCTTTATATACAGAGCTGCCATCCTTTGCCCTCTTTTAATTTTTTAAAATCGGATATTTTATTTATTTACATTTCAGATGTTATCCCCTTCTCCATTTCTCCTCCCCCGAGAAATCCCCATCCCATCCCCCCTCCTCCTGCTTTTATGAGGGTGTGCCCCCACCCACCCACCCATTCCCACCTCCCCACTCTTAAATTCCTGCACACTGGGCCATCCAGCCTTTACGTGACCAAGGACCTCCTCTTCAAACTGTTCTCTCAATTTAGTGTTTGAAGAAATATGGGATTTTGACCTAGAAAGCATTCCAGTTTGTACTTGAGTTTCATGCTGCCATTCAACACATTTTGCTGCTTTTTTATACCACTAGAAAACTAATGATTAAATGCAGAGGCTTAGGATCTAAGGCAAAAGCATAGATTGACCTAGGAAATGTATAGCAGACATGTAGTATCCAGGTTTCTTTGGGGTACAGCTTTGTCTGCATAGATCATCAGTGGATACTCACTGTTAGTTCAGTGAGGCAGTGGGGGATGGCAATGTGAAGGGAGACAGCTCCTCATTTCAGAATATTTGAGTTTAAGAGGTCCACGGCATGGTGTGGGATTAATTATCATAAATCTTAGAAATTGATTCAATAAGTCTCCATTCCATGACATAACTCCTCTCTGAAGAACAGTCTCCACATTGAGCTTACATCATCCACACCAAGAGTGAAGAAGGTTATGCAAGTGCCAGTTCAGGAGAAGAACAAGCTGCTTTAGAAAGCTTTGAGTTATAGTGTTGAAACTGAGCTTCAAAATCCTAAGTTGAGGTTTCTAGAACATCTTTCCTTTTCATTGTTATTTTTATTTTCAAGTTAATCTCATATGAAACTAGCAACAGAGCATTCTGAGGTTTGTTATGAAGAAAACAGTGCAAGTCAGAAGATAAGAGAACACTGACATTCCCCTCTAGGTAGATGTGGCCTCCCACAGTCAGAAAGTATCATATTTTCCTATTTTTTTAAAAAAACATTTTTTAGCCAGGCATGGTGGCATACATCTTTAATCAAGACTCAAATACAGAGTGGTATACGCAGAAAAAAAAATCTTTAATACCAAACTAGAAGCCATGAGAAATGAAATATATACAACAGATAATATGTTTAGGTGGCTAGGGGATTAAAAAGGAGATGACTTTGAAATTAAGTAAAGAGGGCTAGAGAGGTGACTCCTCATTGGCT